CAGCAAAGCCGTGGAGGCCACTTACCCGATATGCTATTCCATACATAACCCTATACTGTATACTTTATGAATCAATAAAAAATTTACAATTTTTAATTATAAACCTGTGTTTTCTATCAAAATTACTTCTTGCGTGAGTTTTGGGATACCCTTTATAACCAAGCAGATTACGCAATTAATGCATATATTGAGTAAAATTTTTGATAGAGGTGAAATGCAGGAGAACTATTGAAATAACAGAATATTAAATAATATTCTGAGAATATATCTTGTCCTAATATTCAAGTGACAGTAACAACTGAAAGTAAGACAGTACAGTCTATATAACTTAGATATTCTTCATTGAGATTCTTCAGATAGAAGAGAATTCGCAAGATTAATTTAAAATAAAAATTCTGATTCAGGTTGTTTGCTTCGTATTAATGCACAGATGCGAAAGGTCGCCTCTACGCGACGGTTTATAAATATTTAATCAGCTTACGTGTCAACTATTTGTAAAGTCAATACATACGAAACTTTCTGGAATTTTTTAAGCTTGTACGCCCGACGGTATTTGGTTCTAGAAACGGGTCAAGAGGGTGAGATATCGGGAGGATGGGTGAAGAATTTTTCTGTCGCACCGCGACGCAAATTTAATCAGCGATTGAATTGCAATTTGACACACGGATTGTAATTTAACAGCGAGTTACATGAGATTCTGCTTCGGGGAATTATGCGATTCCTATTACGTGCGCGAAAAATTTACTAGCTGGCAGTAGGAGAGAAAAGTCCGAAACCCGCGGAAAACTAATTTAATCAGATCAAGAAAACGATTTCGTGTCTTCGGGCTTTTCATCGGTCTTTTATAAATTTCCGGCAAATCTCTCTAATTCTCTAACAATATAACAATATTCACGGAGGTGTATCTTTTATCGATTTACACGGATTTTCAAAGCCTATGCGAAGTGAGGCTCTGCGACGAACACGTGGGCGTGAATGGCACATTGCGGACTGCGATTCTTGAATAATAATGAGTAGCCACTGAGTAAACAACTGTCTTCTAGCGGGGTGGGTGATGGGAAAGCAATTTACGACTCACTCGGATTACTCGATGACGAGGGTAAAAACAGTCACGTACTCTTGAGAATTTTCTATTCGGATGCAATGATTTGTAGTTTAAATTGTTCTTGCAAATTATACGGCTGCCATCCAAAAGCCGCTTTGTCGCGAAGCAATCAGTAAAAAAAAAGTAAATCCACGTCATGTACAGGACGGAGAATAAAATGGAGGACGAAATCGATTTTTTAATCTTTTACAAGCCTCCTACTTGCCCTTGTCGGTGTCCTTGTCGAGAAAAATATTGTGTATTCTACTTCAAATCTTTCTATCTGGAAATAACTCTCGAAATAACTCGGGAATTCATCAGTTGTCGGCCAATTCAAGTGAATATATTAATATTAATAAAAAAAAAATCACAATTGATATTAAAATTAGTATCAATATTAAAATCGATTAATTGATACACAATTAGTATTAAAATACACAATTGATATTGAAAAGAAAAAATAGATATTACCTTAATACGATAATGTTATGTACGAGAAAGACAAAAATAACGACAACAGCGAGATATCGATGCAATACGAAGCGAAAGGTATCATTCATGTCCGAAACTTGGAGACTTCATCTTATCGGAGAATTTTTCTAGAGGCACGTACAATCCATATCAGTCCCTCCTGCTTTATTATGTCTCCCCGATGAAACATTGATAGGAATTGAAAAGAGGCAGCGAAAGGAAGAGACATAAATTTCAGGGTGGAAGTTTTAATGGATTGTGAATGTTAATTAACGACAGTGTTAGTTGTCGGAAGAGATTGTTCTGGGAACGTGGAAACGAGTGATATTTCATATCCGAGTGATAATAATAGATAATACAATATGTGGAAGTATCACGCGGCCATTAAAGTAATCGATCCGTCGTCTGCAGTATCTGAAGAGAGAAAGAACAATGAACGCGGGTCATATAACGAGTCCTAGCGCGATGATTGATTCGTAATAAGTGCACGAAAAATATCGATGAACAAGGTGAACCTCTACATTGTCTGTCACATTATAATATATGATCGTTGAGTAATGTAAATTTTAATTTTATATTATCTCTCTCTCTCTCTCTCTCTTTCTCTCTCTCTCTCTCTCTCTCTCTCTCTCTCTCTCTCTAACTCGTCATAAATTTAAATATTTTATACGCATTTTAGCGTTGCGTAATTTTTCCCGACTGTCTCCGACGTAAGATTTTTCGCGAGATAACGAATTGTAGCGACGTTTATCGTTCATCTTTTTCATTGCGAAATTGTCTCACGCAATATTAAGATTCATAAGTGAGGTAAAAAGCCGAGCCGCTCATTATGTATAATTCTGGAAAATCCGTGAACAGCAATTAATGCTGTTAAAGTAATTATCTGTCAGCAGATTTCGTTCCCGTCGCTGAAATCGCGACGATCCCCCGAGCGGATTAATACGATAATTATATTTAATAACTCAGCGGGAGACACAGACACTCATAGGTCTTTCGTAATGTTAAACGACCGTCGCGCGGAATCAATTATTTGCTCCTGGCGTTTGAGAGAACTGAAGTAATTTATATTACGCTCAGATATTTCGTTTGTGAGCGGACATGGAAACATTTTTATCACATGACACATGATGAGAGACAATGGGGTGTATTAAATTTCAATATATGAGTGAAATGTGAAACAAGATCTTTAGTTTCCTCGCGCAATAAACCGGAATAATTTTGTCGATTCTGTCGGAATTACACGGCATTACTTCTTCGAAAGTTAATGGGGGAATTATCGAGATACGAGTGGAGAAAATTAGCGCATGTGTGTGCATGTGTGTGTGTGTGTCGAAGTCAGAATTTCGTATTTGTGCTGCCTAACAGGATTTTGCCATATCACGTTCGCGGCAGTACACGTGCTTATTTTATACAATGGCATCGTGTGCCCGCACAATGCACGCATTCCGGATATTCTTCCGGATATTCTCGGGCAGAAAACAAGGTCGGGGACAATAAACAGATCCGATTATGCGCGATATATCATCACGTCGACGTTATGAATCCCCAGTATCGTTTCTCGCGGAATCGTTAAATTCGCTATCGTTAAATTCGCGGAAGAAATTATATGCCTCGTGCGACAATTTAAGGAATCCGTTTATCTTGCTTAAAGCTTTACTTAAAACTCATAATTATGCGCCACTATGCGCACACTCAGCTTCTCGCTGTGCGATTGTTCATTTTTTCCGCGAGATTAAGCCCGGATTATTGTCGTATCATGACGACAAGCGGCAAGGAAAATTGCTTCGCTTAAATGTATTCTTGACTCCTTGGTTCTCAGCGTGCAATTTATTTCGCGATTGTTATATACGTGAAGTGAATGAACGGGTATTATATTTAGTTTGCGCTTTTCTTTTAGTGAAAGCTATAATTTTATTCGTATAGCTGAAAGCTTTTGACGTCTAACAGCTTGCTGCGTCTGTCGACTTCGCTCGTTTAAATATTGTTGAAATTAGAGACAGAAAATGTACCATCGCTTTCGGTATATTTCTATTTATAATAAGTAAATTGAGTATCTTTTTATTGATGAGCAGGATAGACGATCGGTGTAGCTGACAGTCTCGCTTCACGATACATCATTCTCTAGTAAATCCCGGCATTTTCTGTTTACGACGACTGTTCTTTGAGATTCCGTAAATCAATATATTCGATTTTCTCGTGCAAAACAAGAGCCTCTGTAACTTCCTTCACCATAACAACGTTAGCTTTATTGCATTCTCGATGTCTTTTTTTTCATATTACGCGAAAATTGTGATTTTTTAAAAAAGATGATATATCGACACGGTTGTTCATTTTTGGTATAAACCGTGCATTTAATAAATATCTACAGAGAGAAATATCTACAATAAATATCTAACAGAGATAAAATATTTATTAAAATATTTATTTGCAAAAGTATAGTTTTCTGTCCATTGATATAGCAGCGAAGGGGATCGAATCGTTTGTTTAGAAAACAAATCCTTTTACGATTTTTACAAAATATTAAATGTGATATAAATTGCGTATCATCCGACTGTGGTAACATCAAAATAATCACGAAATTCACCGTTGTACAAAAATATGAACGAAAATATGAACGAAACGATTGACAACATGCATGTAGTTCGACAATATTACGTTCCATTGTATAAACATTTGATCTTATAACATAGGAGATGTGTAGAATGGTTTAAAGTTACAAAAAAAAGAATCAAACATTGAAATATTTTTCCGCAATTTTATATTGCGCGTACATCTGCTTTGCAATCGATTCTTGTAAACAATCGCTTACAAAAACATCCAATAAACAGGTAACGCTATATGTCTGTAAAATTTTTCGTGCAATTTATTATCGTAATCTCGTCCTCTCGAATCAGCTGATTCGCCTAGTAAATCGACATCGAACACCCGAATTCGTCCACGTCATCGCCTCGCACGATTTCGTCGTGTGACCTTAACGAGTCGAATATTATTAAATCGAGAAGTTATAATATTTTCATGTAAAATAATATGATGTAAAACTGATCGTACAAATTCAGCTTTTACGATAAGACTAAAGACTCTTTCTCTTTCTCCGTAATTCCATTCTCCGATTCCTGTAAACAATTGCTTACATATGACACTCACAATAAACAAGTAACGCGCTATGCCTGTAAAATTTTTCGTGCAATTTATTATCGTAATCTCGTCCTTTCGGAAATCAGCTGATCTCCCAGTAAATTGACGTACTTAATATCACAGAGCAACAAATTTCTCTCATAATCTATATAGGAAGAAATGTTGGGACAATTTTAAAGGTGAAAAGTGTACGCGATCTTAAAACACAGTTATCAAATAGAGAATACATCGCTCGATACATCGTCAATAGAAAAAGAGAAACGATGCAAATAAAACAAGGAAATGACATCAGGTAATAACGTCTCCTTACCTTTGTGATAGAACGCGAAATTCCACATCGGAAATCTATACGCGACCTGACGAGGTTTACAAGTGGAATATTCAGTCGTAGTCAGACACGGGTTTCCAGTAGAAACGACCAGTGTCGCGTTTGTTCATTCAGTAGATATACCGACGATACGGTCCGCCCGGCACGAACATAATCTGCGTACCGATTGTTTATCCTCCGTAAGTTTCCGCTCTGATTGCGAAATACCGATGCGTAAACAATTCGATATTCATCGTTTCCGTCGCAATTGTAGTTTGCGATCAAACGCGATCGAAATGCTCGCTCGAGCACACCGTCGAGGAATCGCGAGAAACGGCGCGAGCGTCAGAGATCGACCGGCCGGTTACCTCGATGTCTCTCTCTTTCTCTCTCTCTCTCTCTCTCTCTCTCTCTCTTTCTCTCGTTGATTTCTAACAAAATTAAGTAAATTCACACGGTAGTTGCTTGTGCCACGGCGCGTCAACGACTGAACCTCTCTACCAGGTTTAGCCAGATACGCTCTTGGATAGGGAGAAGGGAGAGCGCGAGGGAGAAAAAGAGAGGGAGCGAGCGAGAGAGAAGCCAGGGAGAAAAAGGGAGACGTACGCGAGCGTAGGTGGCAAAAGGTAGATACGAAGGGGAGGGGGAGAGAATAAGAGGCTGAGAGGGATAGATGAAGGCAGACGAAGAAGAATCCAATCTAGACAGAGCACGGATCAAGGATGGATGGTACAGAGGGTTGACACAGAGGGAGATCAGATGGAGTAAACGGAAAGTAAAGAGTGTGTATGTGTGTGCACTGTTGATCGCATAAACGAGAGAAACAAAGGGAGAAATAGGAAACGGGCAGCGAAGTAAAAACACTGTAAGACACGACAGAATAAAGAGAGAGAGTAACCGGATAATGGCTCGTGCACATATCTCGCTGATATCCAGTTTTTATCTTCGAGGATTTATCGGCTGGCTTTTATCAGTAGCGGTTAATAAGCATATACGGTGACTTGATTTTTCGTTGTCGAACGTGGAGAATGGACAGAACACGCGCGCGCGCGCGCGATGAGAAATATGAAAAATATGAAAAATATTGGAGATATGCCATTTGCGCGAATAGCAGTTATTAACGAAGATCGTACCTGCATTTGGATGATCTCTAATATCGTGATACCGAACGAGAGTGCTGCAGTATATAAGCGGGTTTCGTACTCTATTTTTTTGTAATTGACTGCGAATGAAAAGGTTAATAGTTCAGAAGTACGCTTAAAACGTGCGATACAAAAGAACCGATGGAGGAGGGGGGGGGGGGCGATGCGAGCGACTGAAATTACATTTTCTTTCGTGGATTACTTATATTCTTCCATGTGCGAGAGACAAAATAACGAACGCGGGACGAAGCGAAAAACACTATTGTACCAATATTATCCCTCGCTTCTTATTGCAGTGCAAACGTTTTATATCGGACAGATATGTTATCGTGTATTGGATTGACCGCGCGATCGATAAAAGAGACACTGCGGAAAATTCGAAGGCAAAGTGTGGACGCGTGTAAAGTGGAAATGTAAAAACTTTGTGGGAAGAAGAGGCGTTTGGCACTTGGCTGGAATGCATAAGAACTCAGCTGCATTTGCATGCAATTGCTGTCGCCGGGTTCGTCTCGCAGTGAAGATATAGATATAGCTGCCGAAGGAGATGAAACTCTAAAAGGAATCTCGCCCCGATGATGCGACCTTGACCTTGACATATGTATGACCGTATGTATGAGTAATTTTTGGCGAAACTTCCGAAAGCGGCCATGCTCCGATTTCAACCAAACTTGCCGAAAAGCTATGTTATAGGTTAGAATGGAAGGTTATAAAAGGATTTTTGGCGACGCAAACGTTAAGTAATTTTTAAACAATTTTAAGTTGATCGGTACTTTTATCATATTTTATGTCCGCGCATGAAAACTTAAACACGTTTAACGCAATCGGCGGCAACAAATAAAAAAATACCAAAAAGATTTTTTACAACTCAATATATTGGCGGAGGCAGAAAGGAGACATTGAAAGTAAGAGAGGGTACGCGTAGCGCGCCGTGCTAACGCACTTGCAACTTACGCATTTACGAAACTTTTGTGGTCAGTGCAGCACGCATCTGATCTAACACGTAAGTTCCAAGTACGTTTAACAGGGTGCGCTACGCGCGCCCCCCCCCGCCCACCTACCCTTCACCCCACAACCGCCCGCCCACCCTCGTCACAAGTATGCACAGCGCACGAATGCACATACTAATATAGTGAATAGCACTACGCACGCGATTGTTGACTATGCTTCATAAACTTTGAATCATAAAAATAGATATAAGATATGATATAAAATAGATATAAAATATGATAAAAATACTGCTCAACTTAAAATTGTTAAAAAAAAATCACTTAACGTTTGAGTCGCCAAAAATCCTTTTATAACCTTCCATTCTAACCTGTAACATAGCTTTTCACCAAGTTTGGTTGAAATCGGAGCATGACCGCTTTCGGAATAACAGCCTAATTTTTAAAGGTCTCTGAAGGTTTCAGCTATCACTTGTCGTTTGTTGTAAAAAGATTATCAACAAAGCGAGACGTTCGCACAAACGAATGTTGGATGGGACGTACGTTGGTCGACGTTAATGTGATTTTCGCTCACGTTGAAATTACAAATTCAAATCTGTAGGGAAGCGATGTGTTGAAGTTGGCGATGTAAATACGTGTTACCCGTTGAGAGAATTCCATCGGACATATCCGGTCTTTATGGGTCTTGTTTGTAAATTTACAGTTATTGCAAACTTCATCGCCGCTCTACATATCGCGTTGTTTGCATTTCCCGTTTACGCGTCAGGTCTACGCGTTCCCTGTTTTTCCAGAGGTCGATACGTCAAGTTCTATCTTACGGATGGCGAGTAATATAGAGCGTCTGTTTCTCATTCATCAATTACTTGTCTAATCGCTGATATTTTCATATGTCGTGTGCATTTCGCATTACTTCAATGTTAAAAAATGAAGAGATTTGTGCCTTTCTGCAAAAATACATTATAAGTTTTGTTTCTTATGACGGTGTCTTCTTATCTCGTAAAATTGTGAGAAATACAGAGAAATATTTTCCACATCTATTTATCGATTGACGCAAAAATCAATAGTAGCATCAGTCAATAACAGTATCAACAGCTTCATCGAGATGAAGCTTATGCAATTCGCTGAAAAGAGAGGCTCATCGGAGGCATAAAAATAACTGCATCCTGCGCCCTTGGGGCGAATGTTATAATTTTAATAAACATAAAAATATCAGTAATATCAGTCCCTGAGTTCCCTCGCGAGATTCCGCTTGTGCTAATTTGGACAATCAACTAAGTAATTAAATATTGATACGCAAAAACGGGTAGACACATCACATTCTTTGATGAATTGCCGCACGACAAGGTGATCTATCCGCACATGAAGGATACGGAATGACGCAGCGATTGAATTAAACGCGGTTAGGCGAGGACGACGAGGGGGCGCGTGAACGCTGGTCTCGAAGGAGTTACAGGTGGTTGCCCCACGAAGAAAGACGCGAGAAAAAAGGCTCTTACAAGAGCCGCGAGGAGAAAGAATGTGATGTGAGGAAACCGGCAATAAGCACAGTACGGCCAAGGCCCAATTTGTACTTGAATAATAGAGCAAGTCAATTTCATAGACAGATGAGAGAACTGACGTAAGTTGAGTGCGCCATTCATCGAGTCTGCATTGACAGTCGTCGAACGAGTGGGTGTGCGTGTGACCTCCGAGTGTTGCGAGGTACAGTTAGGTAAACAACATCGTGACAAAATGATCTCGATAAAACATCTCTCTCTCCCTCTCCCCCTCCTTCTCCCTCTCCCTCTCCTGGGGAGGGATAACGCGTTTGTGCTTTATCACAAGTCTCGACGTGTACACAAGGCAGGGTATACGCATATACATATCGTGAGCTAACTTCTGCTCTTCGAAACTAGACTAGAACTAACCGGCACGCCTGACTTGGCAGGGATTTATCGTAGACCGGCCTGGTGCGATAGCCGCGGCCTGCGTACGTGCCGCGTAACGATGCCGCGCACCCCCCACGCAATCACACCTTATTAGCCGCGACATCGACACAGCGGCTTATAAATCACTCCCTGAGCGAGCCGCGTTTGCGTCTGACATTTATCGCATGACAGTAGCACGGGCGTAACGCGCATCATGCTGAGGGATTTTTCCCTCTCGCCCCTCACTCCCCCCCTCCTCTCTCTCTCTCTCTCTCTCTCTCTCGGACGTTAGATGTTACAAGAAGAAAACGCCATATCGACAGAAGTGTCAGAAGCGAGCGGGAATGTCACGCGTGAAATATCAAGCGTCTGAGAAGCGCGGCCGCTTGGTCGCGCGGCCCGGCCGGTGTGATTTCTTCACCGCGCGCGCGCGCGCGAGTCAGCCTCGAGGAAACGCACGAAAATCCCTCGGCGAGTTTTCAGGCGGTTGCGATTGAACGGGTCTGCAAGTTTCACGCTGTGCGCCATCCCGATACAGCCGCCTGCGCGCGTGGCGCACACCCGGCGCGGAGAGAGGGAATCTGGCGACGGGGTAGTTTCTCCCCGCGCTCGTGGCGCCGCTCTTCGCTGTGCCACGGCGGAGGCAAGGGTGGCAGGCGAGCCCTGATACCAGGCCTCGGTTAGTCGTGCGAGGGTCGCGCAAGCTCGTAAAACTCCCTCGGCGCCGCGGTGCTCGCGATCCCGACTGACCGATCCGAGCCACGGAGGACGGCCGCTTCGTCTTCCGCAGCATCTGATCCGACGACGACTACGACGACAACACGAAGACACATCGGTGTTTGCACGTTCATCCGACCGGACGGCCGAGTCGCGAGAGGAGAAGGACGAGAAGGAGGAGGAGGAGGAGGAGAGATACAGAGAGAGGAGAGAGGAGAGAGAGAGAGAGAGAGAGAGAGAGAACTCCAGGGAGAGAGAACGAGAGGCGGCGGGAGATGACGATGCCGGTGGACGAAGACGCGCGGTCGAATTCTCGGTATGCGAGATAGTGGAGGACAACCGATGGGTAGTGGCGATAGTGGCCAGTGATTGCGGCGTGATTAGCAGCTTAATTGATCAGGTGCGGTATTCTGCTGATTCGACTGCATCGCGTCCGCATACACCGACGCTCGCTTCACCCTCGTGAACGCTGCTTTCTCCTCTGTCTCTTCACCGCTCTGCCCTTCCCGCCCCTTCTTTCGCCCTTTTTTTCTCTCTCTCTCTCTCTCTCTCTCTCTCTCTGTCTGTTTTTGTCTCTCGACTAGCACCCCTCCAGCACGCTACCTCGTACACTTGTTCCGCCGTGTCGGCTGATTAACGATAAAAGTGGCTAATTAAGAAGCCTGGCACGTAGCGGTGAGCGTCACGTCTCCTTGACGTAGCTGTTGTCACAGCGGTATCAGTCCGCGAATGCTTTCGGTCGGTCCGGCGCCGACGTGTGTCGCATATCACACATCTCACCCTTAAAACGAGTACAATTCGGTACGTCTTATAGAGCGATTCAGTTAGATATATCGTGGATGAACTTATAAATAGATCATTCCGGTGGCTCTTACTCTCTCTCTCTCTCTCTCTCTCTCTCTCGCTCTCCCTCTCTTTTTCCCTCTTTCTCACCCCCTTTCTCCTTCTTTCTCCTCTCTCGGCACCCCCCGCTCTCTCCGCCTATCTTATCGCACGTAGTATTATTTCCATCTCAGATTCTCCGTTCAAAATTCTCATCGCCGCGATCAATGAACTTAGAAGCCGCGAGCCGAAAGATAAACACTCGTCTTGCGGAATACCCGAGTTTATAGCTCGTCGGTATAGCGTGGATTGGATCGATATTTATGGGCAAAAAAAAATTGAGAGAAAAAAAATGAGAAAAACGAGAAAAACGTGGACGGAAATCTTGGCGCTCTTGCGGTAATTGGAGCTCACGCGACATAAATGTGTGCGTCATCGGCGCACTTCGGTTTTGTCTATTTCTCGTCGCAATAGCGCGCGAAATACCGCCGCATATTTCTCGCGAATTATCACGGCGTGCCGACGCTCCGTTAATTCGATAACGGCAGTGCACCGTCTTTTCCCCTCGTCGATGTGAGACGCGAATAAGAATTCCTCCGGTTTTTTATGCTCTCTCAATTACTCAGCGCGCGGTCTCCTTCATAATTTCCGGATAATTATGCGCGCGCGACCCCGTGCGCTTTAGCCCATGGCCGTGTTTCAAATTTCACAACGGAGAATATGTAGACACGACCCATTTGGGCCGGGTCATTGAAAAGCACGTTGTATTTACATACAGAGAATATGTATCCGAGCTTGGGAGAAATATTCCGCTCATCTCAAGGATGAAAAATGTCGTGCGAACACGCGGAGGGGTTCTTCCCTCCCCAGATGCAAATGTTTCTTTTCTCTTTTTTACTTACGATATAATGTTTCGAGGATACTTTACTGCAAAAGTCGCTCGGAATAAGTAGCTTCTCTCTGTAAACTCCCATTAAAGTTTAACCGCCTATTTCGTATCCAGTCGCATCCTGTATATATTAATCAGAAAACCAGCCGAACTAATTTCTATCATTCTGCAATTGCAATTGTGTCTAACGCAAGCTTGGGAGAGCTCTCTGCTTAAAGGTAACTCGCGTTTTTCCCTACCATTATTCGTTACCGCGACTGCGAGTACTCGTTTGGAAAAATATCACGTTTACCATTTTTGTCGTGTTTCCCATGAATTTTTGAGGACCCTCTTTCAGAAATTTATATTTCATCTCTGTCGTAATAACCGGACATTGCCGTCCTTCTCGCGCGTGCAAAAAAGATCGCGGCGACAAATATATTTGACATGTTATATTCATCTCCGTTACTACGAAATTTCAATGGAGTTACGTCTATCTCATTACTAATGGAAAGAATGCCATTATCGGTGAGGTTGCTTAAAAGGAGTAGCTCGCAACTCGCAACGTGTTATAAGAAGAGCAGGACAAAGGAAATATGGAAGATAAATCATTTATTTGAGCAACGCTCCGGCACCTTCAGCGCTGAGTAAAAAATTTCTTTCTTTCCAAAGACTCTAATGTAAAATAAATTCACGTACAAAGTATCCTTGTTAAAAACGAACGAATAGAATGTGATCAAAGTTAACAGGAGCGGACGTAATGTCGAAAGAGAGAGAGAGAGAGAGAGAGAGAGAGAGAAAGAGATAATAAGTATGACGATTAAGCTAAAAAATTAAAATTCTAATTCAATTCAATGAATGAGCGTAGTAACCAGCCTGGTTTGTAATTTGCTTTTGCACTCGGGTTACCAGTTGCCGCGATCTTTCGTTTGTTGCACGCGGTTCGGAAGCTACATTTCGTAGGAACATACGTTTCAAGCACGCATGGCATCAAGTCGCGTCGCGATATCCAATTTCAATGCAGAGCAATTATAGTCGAGAGCGTATCCTCGATATATCCGTTAGATCTCAAACGCCATCGAATTTGCTGCAAAGCCGATTTCAGTATTTCGACGTCGCGTTTTTTTTTTCTTCTTTTACCTTTTTATTTATTTTACACGTCTGCCTCGCACACGCGTGTCGAGCGGATCGACGAATGTTCGAGTTGAAGGGTCGTTTGTGCTTTGCAGTCTATACCTCGTCATCATGAGTGCTCTAGCTTCGCTATCGAGGCGTGACCTAAATGATTTTAAAAGAGAGACAGAGAGAGAAAGAGAGAGAGAGAAAGAGAGAGAGAGAGAGAGAGAGAGAGAGAGAGAGAGAGAGAGAGAGAGAGAGAGAGAGAGATAATCGACGTAGAATTTTCCGATATATATAGCGCGCGTTTAATACGATGCGTCAGTCCTTGGGTTTACTGGAAAAATTGGTTTCGAGAGAAATGGCTAAAATTAAATGCCGCAAAATGGAGGGCGCACTCGCTCTCTTCGCGAGAGATTAGTTTGAAAATGCTTAGACACGTTCCTTTCTTCAGCCGCTCATTTTTAACCCACTAAAGTGTTCTTTCTTTTTTCCGCGGTGATTACGCATGTTGAAAGGACAGGTCACCCGTGACCTTAACCTGCACACACGCTGCCAAGGTTGTTACTCCGCGCAACCTTCGGAAGTTTTTAACGGGCGCATATTGTGTACTGAAAAAGTTATTAATAACAAAAGGTTCAATAAAACAAGCGGTCGGGAGAATTTTTTTAATAACATGTGAAACGCTACGGATGCATCGGATTCTGCAGTTCTTGAGTTCCACCAAATATGAAATGTACATTATTTCGGCATTCGGAATGTGTAATATCTTTTTTAGTATACACATATTGCTTCCATTTCTGCTTGTAAATATTCACCTCTTCATGCTTGATTCACGCTCGCTTCTATATACTTGTGCAAAGTATCCAAGATCCACCGATCCGCGACCGGCGCGAAGTTCACCTCGTGCCAACACGTGACGAAGCGTCCAAGAAATAACTCATTGAACGCTCAAGTTCGATCACTTGGCGAGTTTTCTTCCCCGTGAAAAGTACAGTGTCGTGCGCTACTAAAAACAAGCTTTTTGTTCGTTTTATTTGTAGCTTATCGCTGATAATCGTGCGACGCAGCTCAACGAGGTCTAACGAGAGCTACGAGTCTCACTTTGACACATTGACGTATATGCAAGATTCTCATAAAAACTGCGACTTTTTTAATATTGGTCGCCGAACACAAACTTACGTCGCGCCGGAGTCGCTCTCACGTCGCACTAATTAATGAAAGTGATCATTTAATGTCCCGTCTGGAAAACGAGAGGCACGGATTAAAGATGGGAGCGACGTCGCGCGCGACGAGACGAGCGTGTAAAGGAAATCCGGCGAATCGGGTAATATCTGGGCGTAAAATGCAGCGTAAAAGAGAGAGAGAGAGAGAGAGAGAGAGAGAGAGAGAGAGAAAAAAGCGTGGAACACTGATGAAGTCTGATTTTTAGATTTTAAACGTTTTCTTTCTCCGTACATGATTCGTTAAAGTTTAACAAACAGTATTTCATATCTCTCTTTTAACCAGACAAATGGAATATCTGCGAGATATTCGCATCTCCAATCTTGATGAAACTTGACATATTTCCAGAGTGACCAAATTAAAAAAAAAGATATGTACCTCTTTTTTATCAAGCAAGATGCAAGCTCAGAGGGCGAAACTATCCCGCAAAGTTTCATTCTTCTTGTGCTTGTATCTCGGGATTATTGGAGATACAAAGAAACTTTTTAGATGAGTGTTTCTTTTTTAGTGGTTTTTCTTTTTATGCGGAGTGCAATGGTCTATATGCTGTACGGAGAAAGAAGCGTTCTGAACGATCGATAAAATCGCAAGCAGCTGCCAGGCTCGTACTAGAGTTTTCTTTAATCAAAGATTAACCTTTTCCGAAAGCCTCTCTGAAGCCAAGGTCGCAAAGACGGAATTGAGAAGTTTTTATTAAGAAGGTCGCGCTAACGAACGATGCGGCAAAGTGACTGCTTTCGTCTATGTTGCAGCGCGAACTGCCGCATAAAGCGAATCGCGTTCTTCTTTGCAATCAAACGACTTTATAGCTCGTGTATCATCGAGCAAACAAACAAGGTGCACTAAACTCTGTGTATTTCCGCGAGATTGCAACGTACATACGGGAGCCGGAGAATTACGGAGCACGAGCGGCCCTTTCTTTGCGCAAAGTCCCATTTGAAGAAAAGCGTGCAGGTCATACGACTGCAGCTGCCGCTGAAAGGAATCCAATTTGACGCGAGGGATGCGATGTCGGCCGATGCGAAAGTCATTAGAGCCGCTGGAGGATGTAAACGTTTTGAGAAACACATTACGTTGCAAAATCGCCCAACTTTAACCTGCGAAGAAAAAACGAAGCGTTATATGTATATATATATATATATATATACAGGGTGCTAAATTTCAAACGTAACAGGTAATCGCAACAGGTCAAAATCTCAAAAACTATGAAAGATATTAAAAAAGCTAAAACACGTGTTCTACGATTTCGAAGGGGGAAGAGAATGGCATTATCAGTTTTTTATTTGGAGGGCATTTTCAAGGTCAGTTGAAGGTCGACTTAATTTTTTAAAATAGAAAGCCCAATTTTTTATTATATCTTCCTTTTCTAG